AAGCCCAGCACCCACCGCTGGAATGGGACCCTCTAGCCGTGTTCCGGATGGGGCTCGAATTGCTAGCAGGGTGTCTCCTGTGAAAACAAACGGATGGGCATTCCAAGGGAGGGTTCTGGCTGCAGGGGCCAGGGGGGGCTGTCATTCAACCAGCCCCTCCCGGGAGAGCCCCAGCCCCACCCCACCGGCTGGGGCTCCCAAGGGAATCACCATCCATCCTTCACCTGCCACCCCTGGGCCCAGCACATCACAAAGAGAGTGTGATCCTTCGCTGCGGGCAGACCGTGCGCTGACACGCCACAGAGCAACCCCGGTACAGCGCCCGGCCCCGGGGCCAGGAAGGAAGCGCTCACGGCACGGCAGGCAGGCAGCGAGCGAAGCGCAGAAATCAGGCAGACCGCAGGACAAACGCAGACCTGCCACCAAAGCCTCCCTCCTTCGGGACGGAGAGCACGGATATGCACTCCAGGCAGCTGGCGTAGGGCTCCGGCCGGAAGACCTTGCCAGGGGTCCAGAGCTCTCGTGCCAAGCGCTAGGACTCCAGCAGCAAGCCCAAGAGGGTGTGAGTGTCTGCCGAGGGAAAGGAGGCTAGGGGCAAGGACAGGGCGGCCTGCAGGAAGTGGCCCTAGCAACGGTCAAGTGCAGGCCAAAGCTGGTGCTTGTTACTGACGCTGGCCAGGGCCCGAGCCGGGAATGCCACCGCCTTGCAGACGCTTTTAACACCTCCCTTTGCAAAGAGGTGCAAACAAGTCAACAAACACACGGACTAGCTAACGGCTGCAGCAGTGCTACTTTGGCTGCCCTGTGCATCCCCCATAGGTTCTGGCTTGCACTGACGCCAGGCGGGTTTACACTTACCACAGAAACCAAAACTAGAAGTACAGTACCTAAAGCCCTAGGGGCAACAGACATTCCCGACTTTCCATGGCACAAATCAGTGTTTTGCCTTTAACTTCACAGGAGTTAAGAAAAACAGGGAGGCAAACCCCAAAAGTGATAAGGAAGGAAGGCCAGCGAGAGGGTAAACTTTTAAAATCACAGTTTTTGCAAACTCCCTGGTGCAAAGCAACTGGGCTTGTAAAAGGGGAGTGACAAATCTGGTGGGTTTGCAAAATGAGGACTCTTCAGCGACGTGCCCTCACCAACTACATCTTTAAAACAGAGTCTCAGAGTCTCACAGTGCACGTGATATTTCTTCTGCTCCGTCTCCAACCGCTCCACCTGTTTTCATTCAGTTTTTCAAAAATCAATTCGCGTTTCAGAGCGGGCCAAACAGCCCGCAAGGGGCGTACTACGAAAAGGGGGCACGGTGGAATGGAAGCTGGAATTCAGCCTGTGATGCAAGAACTCCAGCAAATTAACTCTCCAAAGATCGCAGAGTGGAGAGTCAGGTGCCCTCAAGGTGTTTTCTGGCTACACGGAGATCGGCCTGACCATCCGAGCACCCCACCGGGAGACAAGCTGGGATGGCTGATTTCAAACAGCCAGACCATTCAGATCTGCTCCCCAAGACTTTCTCCGGGACGGTTCCGCCCAGCAGGGAGTCCAGCTGCAAGGCCCACATGCTGCAGAGCCAGGCTTGGCTTCAGGCGTAAACCTGCTTTGACAAGCAGCTGAGCAGCAGTTTTGGACTTGGGCTCCCGAACCTCAGCGGCCTCCCACCCAACCTTGGCCTATTCCCGTCCCACTCGTTCCTCCCATGCCACTGCCAGTTATTGGAGGGCGCCATTTCCCTGGATGTGCCATAAACCCTGCCTCACCCAGAAAGGCGGGAGCCCAAGACGGACGATGGGTACAGGCAGAGGGGAGAGGACAATGCAAGGGGCGCTGAGGAAGAGGACAGGCAGGAGGGCTGGAATAAATGGGAGCAGACAGTCAGAAGGGGGAGGTGTCGATTATGCGGGGCTGAGGATCTACAAGGCCTGCAGGAATGAAGCAAAGACCAAGGAACGTCAGCTCCTCTCAGTCAGATGCAAGCAGAGCAGGGCTCGGTCCTGGGGAAGGCTTACAAGGGTTTCCCCGGGAAGGGGTGGCCTGGGGAGGGAAGCTGAAAGCCTGCACTGAAGGATACTACGGCCCCAAGGACACAGGGACAGAGGAGACAGCCCCCCTCTAGAAGTGCACGCCAGGGACTGCTGTGGTCTACACCCCGCACAGACCAGTCCAGGTCCCGCTGACTCCTCTGCCTGCAGGGGCACAGCTTGAATATAGGATGATGTAGAATTGTCTAGTGGGACACAGCCAGCTGGGAGCTACGGCCCTCTCTCTCCTGGGAAACGGGGCGCCCAGCTGGGTCTGCTGCCCCAGGCCCCGGGAGACCAGCCAGGGACCCAGTGCCAGCTCACCTGAGAAGCACTTGCAGATATCTTCGTGCGTCACGTAGGCTAACGTTCCGGCGGTTAAGGAGAAAGGGGGCAGCTTCCTGCAGGGGCGCAGAATTCAAAGAGCACCTGGCGTCAGGTTTTCCTTGTGTGCAGGCAACGGAACTCCTAGAAGATTAAGTGCCAGCACCAAAGCCTCTGAAGTGGTCTTGGGGGGGAGAAAAGGGGTGGGGTCTACCTGCCACCAGAGCGCTGCAGGCTGGCTGCACGGCAGCAGGGTTAGCACTCAGAGGGGAAACCTGCCAGGGCAGCTACATGCTTGAGACGGTAGCGCTAATGCCACAGAGAGGCCTTTCTGTCCCGGCTCGTCCTGACGCAGGGTGCCAGGGGCCAGAAAGGGGGCTTTGAAACTCCCCAACACACCTTCCTCAAAGTGCAATAGCCCCCAGAGGTGCTGGGGACATTCCAGACTGATTACACGTGTCACCCCAAGCCCCCCGCCGTGCTACGTGGAGAGTCAGCAGCACTTGCTGTCGCAGGCCGCTGGGCCATGTTATAGCACGCTGTTAATCAGCTGCTGTGCGCCATCCCAGAGGTGGCTGCATTCAGGGCTGGCTAGTATTATTTGTATGAGCGTGCTCCTGGGAGCCCTAAGTCCTCGTCCAGGACTCCACCGTGCTAGGCGAACAGCACAAGGAAGAACCACGCGATTGCGCGTAGGGATGTGCAGCGCATTGCGGGATGTGAGGAGAACGGTGCCATGCAAACGGAAGCTCATTAGTACCAGAGAGAGGCAACGGCCTCACCCGCCAGGAGTGTGAGGGGGAGGGACAGCATCAGCGACTGAGCCGGGAGCCAGGGCACTGAAAGGATATCTGCTGTTCTGGACATCTTCCGTCACGTTTTTGATGCTCTGCTGGACCCACATCTTCTGCTGCTCCAGCTCCTGCTCCCGCTGTTCCAGGTCGTCTATCTCCGCCTTCAGCTCAATGAGTTTGTGGGCGATCTCACGGGTGTTACAGCCCGGGCCCACGCCCCTGCGCGGACAGACAGCAATGAGCAGCCGGCCCCGCCGCGGGAGTCCACAGAGACCCGGCTCTTCCACACCTCCCCAGCTCCCCGTGGCCCCCAACCGCTCACGCTCCCCTAACCTACAGCAGGCCAGAGGCCCCACATCTTCCATCTCCCCTTCCAGTACAGAGGGACAAAGTCCTGCCTCATACTGGGGGCAGAAGTCTCCCTCTCTCAACACCCGGGGAAGGGCTGGAGGCATCTGTTCTGGTCTTAGCCCCTGCAGCAAGAGCCTCTGGAGAAACACGCCCAGCCCATCTGCACAGGGCTGACAGACAAAATGCCAGCAGGTGGAGCTGCACCGGGGCAAGGGCGCAACTGACCGCTGCCCCGAGAGGCACCCTTCTCCCAGCGCCCTCCCCGCTGCGCAGACGCCCCACTCACTTCCACTGGATGCTGTTTTTGGATTTCTTCTCAATCAGCCCGATGCCCTCCAGGACATTTGTGATGTCGTAGATTCGCCGCTTCTGCCGCACGGCCAAGGTGTCTGCTGCCTGCCGAATGGAGATGGGTGGCTGACTCCGGAAATTCACAGCTACAGCCGGCCTCCCGCGGGCACCACATTTCCCCCGTCGGGGGTCAGAGCCCCATACTTCCGACAGCACCTCCTCTGTGCCCCTGCTTCTCAAGCTGCAGAGAGGACCCTGCTCCCCAGGACTTCAAAACTACCACTGATCTTCCCCACAATCCAACTTCTCATTGCACTAAAACCCCTGCTGTCCCAGAGCCAGCCCGGCCACCTCCCCAGCTCCTCTGGAGCCCGCCAGGACTGCGCCTCTCTGGGACAATGCCCCGGGAGGGTCCTCCGTATTTCAGCCCCTAGCTCCATTCTCTTTTGGAGCAGATTAGGAAGGCTGTGGTGAGGCAGCTCTTATGCTACCCAAAGTCCTCAGCTTTCCTCGGCTGACTTGGCTCTAGGGGAAGGGGCAGGGAACCTTTTTGGGTTGGGGGCCACTGACCCACAGACAAATCAGTCGGGGACCACACACAAAAAACCCTCATTGATGTGATGCCCGACGGAAGCAGAAAGATGCTTCCTACATTTCCCTTGCACACCAGAGCCTGGGGGCCCAGCCGTGATTTTCTGTGCTCCAGCCGTGTGGTGAGACAGCGGGGGGCTGGAGCACCAGTGCGGGTCCCCAATGCAAGCGGGGGGCCCTGAGCCTTAGGGGCTGGATCCAGGCAAGCTGCGGGCTGCATTCAGCCCCCAGGCCTGAGGTTCCCACAAGAAGTTTCCAGGGGTGGATCTGTTCTTTGGTTGGCAGGAACAGCCGTACCTTAACACTCAGCGCGCCCCTGGGTGCCTGCCAAGGGAAGTTACTCCAGTTCCCATCCCAAGTAACCCTAAGTGTGAATTCCATGGGCGCTGGGTCAGTGTGAATGCATCGTATGTCTGTACTGATATGCCCAGCGCCACACTGCACTGGATACTGCAAAAGACACAAGCCTGGTCACTTTCCTACACAGCTGTGCTCCACAAGCCACTGCTCTGTTTCAATGATGCTGACAAACACGAGTCCCAACTGCCCGCCGCTTTTGGAGCAAACGCCCACCGCTTTTCTGTCCCAGCCTGAACCTCTTAGTCACCTCCTGCACATGCCCGAAGCCAGAAAGAGCAGCAGTGGGAACACAGACAGCTGAGGCGACACACACATGGGTATCACTCCATGGAGGCATGCTGCACTGCTGGAAGACAAGAGCTAGGTTTCGGCTTTGGACATGGCAGGGAGATACCGTGAGAAAAGATCTCCAATGGCCAGGGACAAGGATAAGTGCCTATGCCAATTCGCCACTAGGGATGTGAATCGGTAGCTGGTTGCCCAGTAAGCAGGTACCAGTTAACTGACACCTGGGAGCTGCCCCCTGCATTTAACCAGTTAACCAATTAAATAGGACTGGACATCCCTAACCCAGGGGGTTGGGTCTTCACCTGGCATCCTAACCACCATGCTACAGACTAGGTGGAAGTGCCTCTCGCAGAGCTCAGAGCCCATTCCTGTTCTGAAAAATCTTCCCGGCAAAAGTTTCCTCAAAGCTGACTGGCTCTGTGAAAAGTTTCGGTTTTGCCAAATCAGCATTCTCCCCGCTCCACTTTAGAGCCACAAACTGCTGACCCGCTTGAGAAGAGTCCTGCTGCCTCCTAGCCATGCCTGGATGCACAAGTGCTTCCTTGAGCCTCCCGTTTTCAGTCCTCCAGCCCTGGGTTCCCATGCGGATCCGAGCCTGATGCCTCAGGCAGCAACTGCAGCACTGCGGATCCAAGGGAGATTCCTCCACACACATGGCATGATAAGCAGCGGCTCCCAGGGCAGAGGCTGCTCGGGAGGCCGGGAAAGCAGGATGCAGCCAAGCACCAGGGAAGGGCATTGAACAAGGTCCGAGATACCACAAATACACCCGAGATCAATGTTGCACTCCCACTTACCCCCGTCCTACCCATATCACAGCCTTACCTGTGGCCTCCTAACCCCCTCCAATCTGCCCCTCGCAGCCCCCGCCACCCACCTGCTTCTCCCTCCGCAAGCTTCAGTGTATTCAAAGAAACCTTTTTCGTATTGAATCTCCCAAATTGTCGAGTCTGACAAGGCTGCTCATCAGGGTGCAATGAGCCACACGTTAGTGATCTCGGAGGTGCTGGGGTGAGACAGCTTTGGGGACAGTCTATGCAGTGCGCTTTTGTGATGCATAAACATGCAGGTTGCCACGTGTGTGGGCAAACGCGTATTCACCTGGGGCACAGACCAGATGCAAGCTCCAGATTTGCAGAGCTTCAGCCAGAAACGATCTGATTTGCTCTCCTCCCCTAGCAGCCAGGTCTCCCCCACCTCCAGACTGGAGGAGGCAGAACCCTAAAGATCATTTGGAAACTTCAGCTAGTGGAGAACCGCACCCCCACTTGCTTAGCAGTGATTTCCCTGAGCTCCGCAGACTGTGCTGGCTTCCTGCTCGGCCCCCTGCAACACAGGGAGCTGACAGTGACCTACGCATCCCTTTCAAGCTGGTGTCCTGCTTAATGCAGGGCTGCCACTTGCGAAGAGCGACTGCGCTGGGGTGGATCCAGGCTACGATCTCCCGGTGGCGGGGCTGTGGACTCTTGATTGGAGCGGGGACCCG